AACCATTTTCAATCATCTAGAAATAGAGGATCAGACAGAAACATATTCCAGCAGTGAGAAATCTGTCTTGGCAGTGGATTTCAGCTGTGCTCTTCCTTGACATTGCTCTAATGTATTTCTCAGAGGCAAGACCATCTGGCCCAGAGCTGATGGTGTGGAGCCCTGGTAAAGCTCAGGTCTGCATCTCTCTCACATCAGCTATCAACTCCTATTTACCACTAAAATCTGAGTTCTAGCACTTAAAAGTTCATAAAACCCCAGTCTAATGACATGATTGCCTTGCCTGTCCTTAATGTCAGTAAGTGTCCCCGAAAGTCATTAAAAATCAAAATGCTGATTTATTGCAGGAGTGAAAAAATCAAGAGAATTAAGAGATGGTTGATGTCCTGAGAGGTGGTTCAATAATGGGGCTGAGGAAACAGAGCTGTGGCTGTTTAGACTCTGGGACCCTCAGCACTGGTGGTATAAAGGGATTTACAAATCCTCTGAGTTAGGAACACAATTTTTCCTCCTCCTCTAATTTTCCCAAACGAAAAGCAGCTCCTTCAGCCTGGCATGAGGGAGCTGGAGCATAAAACCTGCTGGATCCCTGATGAGCCTTGAGAGCTCATCCTACCAACCTGAGATTCCCCTTCAGGCTCCCAGAACGGTCAGCACTGCACTCCTGCCTGCTTTCAGCCTGCAGCTTGCCCTTTCTGTGCTCTGAAAGCACAGAAGTCAGAAAAAAGCTCAGATCAGAAGGTTTGAAGTGGAATCTCTCCTGACACGCCTTTGGCCAGGCAGGCATGTGGGAGCAGAACAAAGTGAGGAGGAGCTCTTGCCTTCCTCACTCAGCCAAGGTTTGAGGAGCAGCACGTCCAGCAGTTCACCCCCAGGGCTGTGCATTTTACAAGTCCAGATGTTTTCTTTGGGGGCTCTGGAGAATCCAAGAGCACCCTGGGATGGGAATTGGAGCCTGAGGTACACGTGGGATTGGTGGCAGAGCCAGGAACAAAGCTCACACGTCCCAACTCCAAGTTCTGCTCTCCACGGCCTGGTCACAGGAAAAGAAGGAAGTTTCAACCCCTGATCCAGCATGCATCCCTAATTCCCTTGGGATTCCATCAGGGAATGTGGCTCAAGGTCTAAGATCAATCAACAGAATATCCTGCCAGCACATCAATGGAACCACACTGATTCCACAATCCGCAGAATTTTTCTGTGTTCTTGGAAATTTCAAACACTACTACAGAGGGAGAAGAATTATTTAAATTCTGCAAGTCTCCCAAGAAACAACAGACTCCACCTTCTCTCTGTTTAAGGAGAATTTAATGATCTCTGTCCCATCAGAGCTTCCAGGGAGAGTGCATGGAAAGGTGAGAGAGCACTGTATTACAATTCTGGCCACTCCAAAAACACCCTAGACAAGCCATGGATTAGAATTCCTGAAAAACAACCAGAACTCCAAGAGGACTCTCCAATCTGTCCCTAGAAAACAGCAGCTGAAGGGGAAGGGCAGGATCAGAGCTGCTGCGAGTGGCACAGCCCCAAATCCTGCCTGAGCCCCGAATCCTACCCAAATCCTGCCCTCTGGAGCAGAGATGATGAGCAGAGCAAACAGATTTGATGGGAACAGGCAGGGACAACACAACCTCAGAGAGCTGAACCAGGCTGGAGGAAGCCTTCAACTCCAGAGAAACCACCAGGACCAGCCTCTGTGAGCAGCAAAATCAAACCTGCACCAGCACCAGGCAGGAGACGAGCTCGTTGCTGAGGCACAGCCACAGCTCTGAGCATTCTGTGCTGCTGGAGCCACCCACTTCCACATCAAGGCAGCTGAAAAAGCCATGGACATCCCTCTTCCCAAGAAAAAAGGGAAGGAGACAACTGCAATCACCACACTTACAGTACTCCCACAGTTTCTTGCAGTTTCCCAGACATTTGACAAAGTTTTAGTGGAAAAGGCATCCCAGTTCTTCCAAACAATCCCAGCAGTGCCCATTGCAGACCAAAGCAGGAGAATAACAGATTCTTCACACACGGATTTGGCACAGGATTTTCGCAGGCACAGAGCTCCAAACATGCACTCAAAATAAATGTCAAAACATATGATGCTGTACAGCAAAATCAGAATAAGCAGAGAATTGTGCTGAGCCAAGTATCACACAAATATGAAGCTCCTTCTCATGGCAGTGACTCACAGAGCTGTGCTGTGCAAAGAGGAGAGCATAGGAAACACATTCACCTTTGTGAAGCCTAAAAAGAAAATAACTCTTCAATAAAACAGAGCCTGTGGTGATGTTGGTAAATGACAGTTTGTTAATAATGCTGCAGGCAGCCTAAAGGAACTCCTGATCTTCCACCACAGAATTAAATAATCTGAAAAACAGGCGTAAGGTACTAACGCCTGTTAGTGGTAGAGCTGAGAGTACAGAGAGTTATCTGATACCCAAATATTGCCCTGTAAGTTAAAAAAGAACTTACTAAAGGAACCATCAGGTGCCCAAAAGATGTCACCTGCTCCAGACTCAAATCTACACACCCAGAGTTCAGAGCAGAAAGCAAAGCTCAAAACAGGGCAAGAACCTCTCCAGCTCCTCCAAGGCTGTGGAAGCTTCCTCTTTCTTATCTCCATTATCTGCCTGTCACACAGCATCATTCCCACCATAAAAATGTGAGATGTGGTTTATTTACAGGAGCTGCATCCCTCGACAATTCACTCCTCCAGATCCTGAAACCATGAATGAAAAATTCAACAGGTAATCAAGCATTGGAGGAAAGTCCTAGAAGGATGAACAACTGCATCATTCTTCACAGCAAGCAGTTTCAGGAAACCAGGGAGTTTCTAAACAGAGGAGAAATAAAAATGGTATCTCATTTGAGCCAAATACACTCCTCCTATAGCAACAGAGAAGTGCAGAGGATGTCATGAGGCTCTTAGCCAAAAAGAGAGAAGGTTCAGCAGTAAAGCCAAGCTCAAGTGACCTCCATGAAGGTGAGCCAGGGCTCACTTGCTTCTCAATGAGGTAGAAATCAGAATTTGTGACATTCAGAAAGTAATTCTGCAGCAGAGCATGGGCAGTGAAATGACAGCAAACACCTTCAGTGCCTCCAGCACAGCTGCACCAACTTCTCTGGGTTTATTCTGCATTTAGTCTGGCCCTTTCTGCCTCCACTCAGGCAGACTGGAAACCCAGAAACAAGGCAGAGAAAAAGCCCCATGTGCCTCAGCTTCGAGCTTCCTTCCTCACATGCTCCAGGGAAAATGAAATTCCCAGCAGGAATTGCTGCCCCCAGCTCAGGCAGCCCGGCCTTACCTGCAGTACCTGTCAGGAACAGGACGGGAACAGCACGGAACAGCACGGAACAGCATGGGAACAGCACGGAACAGCACGGAACAGCACGGAAACAGCACGGAAACAGCACAGGAACAGCACGGGAACAGCATGGGAACAGCATGGGAACAGCACAGAACAGCACGAAACAGCACGGGAACAGCACAGAACAGCATGGGAACAGCACGGAACAGCACGGGAACAGCACGGGAACAGCACAGAACAGCACAAAACAGCATGGGAACAGCACGGAACAGCACGGGAACAGCACAGAACAGCATGGGAACAGCACGGGAACAGCACGGAACAGCACGGCTGCTCCCACCTCCAGGGCGCCCGGGAAAGCACCGGGAAAGCTGGAGCACAGCAGCGCCGGGTGCGGCCTCAGTCCCGGCCAAGGGGACAGAACCACCCGGGCTAGAGGGGCCAGAACCACCCGGGCTAAAGCAATCAGAACCACCCAGGCTAGAGGGGTCAGAACCACCCGGGCCAAAGGGGCCAAAACCACCTGGGCTAAAGGGGCCAGAACCACCCGGGCTAAAGGGGCCTCAATCCAGGCTAAAAGTGATGGAACCAGCCTGGCTAAAGCTGCCAGAACCACCCCGGCTGAAGCAGCCTCAATCCCGGCTAAAGCTGCCAGAACCACCTGGGATAAAGGTGCCACAACCACTCTCTCTAAAGTGGCCTCAATCCTGGCTAAAGGTGCAAGAACCAGCCCGGTAAAGTGGCCTCAATCCTGGCTAAAGCTGCCAGAACCACCCGGGATAAAGGGGCTGGAACCACCCGGGATAAAGGGGCCGGAACCACCCCCCTAAAGCGGCCTCAATCCTGCCGAAAGGTGATGGAACCAGCTCGGCTAAAGCTGCCAGAACCCAGGCTAAAGGTGCCAAAACCACCCCGGTATACGGGCCTCAATCCCGGCTACAGGGGCCAGAACCACCCGCGCAAAAGGGGCCAGAACCATCCGGGATAAAGGGGCCAGAACTACCCGGGCTAAAGGTGCCAAAACCACCCCGGTATACGGGTCTCAATCCCGGCTTAGAGGGGCCAGAACACCCGGGCTAAATGTGCCAGAACTACCCGGGCTAAAGCAGCCTCAATCCCGGCTACAGGAGCCAGAACACCCGGGCTAAATGTGCCAGAACCACCCGGGCTAAAGGTGCCAAAACCACCCCGGTATACGGGTCTCAATCCCGGCTTAGAGGGGCCAGAACACCCGGTCTAAATGTGCCAGAACTACCCGGGCTAAAGCAGCTTCAATCCCGGCTAGAGGGGCCAGAACACCCGGGCTAAATGTGCCAGAACCACCCGGGCTAAAGGCGCCAGAACCACCCCGGTATAGGGGTCTCAATCCCGGCTTAGAGGGGCCAGAGCACCCGGGCTAAATGTGCCAGAACCACCCGGGCTAAAGGTGCCAGAACCACCCCGGTATAGGGGCCTCAATCCCGGCTAAAGCTGCCAGAACTACCCAGGCTAAAGGTGCCAGAACCACCCCGGTATAGGGGTCTCAATCCCGGTTAAAGCTGCCAGAGCCACCGTGGCTGAAGGACCAGCACCACGCCGGCTAAAGCGACCCGAACCCCGGCTCAAGGGGCCAGAAGCACCCCGGTGAAGAGGCCAGAAGCACCCCGGCCGCTGCCCCATCCCGAGGGAACACTCCCCGCGGGGGAAAAGCCGGGCACGTACCTCAGCGCCGAGGCAGAGCCGAGGATCCCCGGAGCCACCAGCCCGGCGCCGTCCCTGCTCCATCGCCGCCCGGGCGGGCGGAGAGCGCGGGCGAAGCCGGGCACGGGGGTGCGATCCGCCCTGCTGCCGGGGCGGCTGCGGCAAAACAGCCCTGCCCGAGCCCCGCCGTGGGTCCGTGTGTCCCGGAGCCGCGGGTCCGTGTGTCCCGGAGCCGCGGGCCCGTGTGTCCCGGAGCCGCGGGCCCGTGTGTCTCGGAGCCCCGCCGCGGGTCCGTGTGTCCCGGAGCCGCGGGCCCGTGCGTCCCGGAGCCGCGGGCCCGTGTGTCCCCGGGCAGGGCCGCGTCCCCGCCGCAGCTCGGCCCCGGGGCCGCCCCGCCTGCGCTCCCGCGGGCAGCCGGGAGCTGTAGTTCCGCCCCGGGCGCTGCGACTACAACTCCCGGCAGCCCACGGGAGCCCACGGGAGCCCACGGGGAGCCCACGGGAGCCCA